TTTTTTTTTTTTTTAGAGAGTGGGTTGGGGGGGGGGGGGGGGGGGGGTTATTAAGATTTGTCTTTAATATCTTAAATTAATATGACTCAGTTCTGAGTCTCATATACTATTTGGCATTAGGGTTAGAAATGTTTACAGACATCTTTATTGAACACCTCGTAAAAGGGGCTATACTATAGTAAGATTTTAGTAACATATTTTTAGATTAATTTTGGTCACTTGTTTTAGATTTTTATGTTGGGGGAAAGAGGGAGAAAATCAAAATAAGGTAAAGTATGAGAAAAACAAAACAAAAAAAACCTCTATAGATGAGTGTTAGACTAAAACGGCCCTGCTGATGATTACCAAAAATTGTAAATGTTTACAGCTAAAATAAACTCCCCATTGCGTCCATCAATCTTCACAGCTTGATAATCAACAAAAGAGGGAAAAAAATTGAATTCAGCATCTAACTGCCACATCGTTAACAAGTATTGATTGTACAGTGTGCTCTTGATAATAGTGGACGCTCCTTTGCAATATAAATATCCCTGGAAGTCCACAACACAGAAAATTTGGATTTCAAATTTACTTTGTTAAAAGTATAGATCATGTCATATGTGGCTATTTATTAGGAGCCCCAAGGGTAGTAGATTTGTTCTACAATAATAAAAGAAAAAATACATCAATACATTCACTGTATGAGTACCTTCCAAAAACTCAAAATGGAAAGAGAGAATAAGACTTTTACAGTAGGTTAACACTAAAAAAAGACAAACAAACAAATACTTCAGATATGCCTGTGCAGTTTTTGTAACTGTAGTGCCAAAAAACTCACAATATTAAAGTGGACCTCGTAGACGTTTCTTTGTGATCAAGCTGCATGTTCTGCTTTGGCTCGTACCTCAGCATGTGTGCTTCCGATCTCCAACAGGAAGTACTGTACACACTCACAGGGGAATACAAGCATACTTGGCACCTTCACATGAAACAAATCCAATCTTGTTATTTGATGCATTACAGAAAATCAATAGGCTCCATACAGAAACACGGAGCACGCTTACAGGATGCGTTTGATGTCACTGGACCCAAATTCAAAGTGAAACATCCGACCGGTTAAAGTATCAGAAGAGCGGAGGCCACTGCTTTAGACAGTTTTTTTGAGTTAGCTTTTACACTTGATCAAAATGCCCTTTTTTAGATTTACCCACCAGCAGCAGGGGTCACTGGGAGCCTGCAGGCACTGATATTAACACACGAACCGTCACTCTCACACGCGCACGCACACTTAAATTATCTCTCAGTCTTCTACAGTCAAACTAAACGCTCCTTGTGAGAAGGCTGACTTCAGTCCCTCTGAAATGGACAAATAAATATACCTTTAACACACACTGTTCTCCTTGATCAATCCCCTCATTACGCTCTCCAAGCTTGACTAAAACAGTTTCCTCTTCACGGATCAGAAATGAAAACCTCCCCTAACGCAAAAGCCAGTTTCTACTTTGGAGAAGTGAAACAACTTTAAAACACTATTAAAAACAGTAATTCTTATGAAAATCATATACATATATACAGTGGGGCAAATAAGTATTTGATACACTGCTGATTTTTCAAGTTTTCTCACTTACAAAGAATGGAGAGATCTGTAATTTTCATCGTAGGTACACCTCAACTGTGAGAGACAGAATCAAAAAATAATAATCCAGAAAATCACATTGTATGATTTTTAAATAATTCAGTTGAGGTGTACCTACAATGAAAATTACAGATCTCTCCATTCTTTGTAAGTGGGAAAACTTGAAAAATCGGCAGTGTATCAAATACTTATTTGCCCCACTGTATATGATTTATATCACATAAATGTAAAATCTAAAAAAAAAATACAGAATGTCAACGACCATGAGTGATCCCTCGCTTTCAACCTTCTGGTGGTTGAAAGACGCCATCCCCTTTAAAATCAGCATTATTTTGAGGTCTCCTACAGACGCCATCCTCCGTCTGTTGACGCTCATGAAAGTTACAATGATTGAATTGTTACTGTTTATGTATCGGCTAGGTTAAAATAACGTGCCCACGGAGGAAGCCGCTTAGAGAAGAACCCAGCTGATATGGTTGCAGAAAAAGGGGAATGTTCCAGGGCCTTGTGTCGCACAGTTCAGTTGGACGAGCCATTCACGATGCTATGCAGCCATCAGATACTGGTGGTAGAAGAGGCCGAAGAGAGAGGTGGAGAACAGGCATGCGGCAATCCACCAAGTGAAGAAGGACAGGAGCCCTCGAAAAAGCAAGGGGGAGAAAACAGTCCTCAGCCCCCCGAGAGCCACCGACAGCTGGGCCACAGTTTGAGAAGCCTGCATCTCGCCTTGCCCCACTTCGACAGGGCTCGAGTCCTCATTCGACAGACACGGCAAATTCTCTTCGGGGTAAATCACCCACGAGTATCCACCTGGGGGTTAAAACAAGAGTCTGAAAAATTCAAGAAACCCTACCGGGGCAATAGAGAACGTGTCGAGAAGAACCTTAATGCACTCACCTAATGTCTTTAGCAGCAAAGTAGTGTGCAACAGCATCACCAGAGGTCCAACGTACTGAAGAGCTATTACACACAGGTAGTAAAAGACTCGGGCGACCTGTGTGAGGAAAAACTAATTTGCAGTTAAAACTTTTAGGCAAATTTCGTTCAAAACAAGCAGCTTGGCAGGAGAGCAGCTCATCAAACAGACTCGCTGAAACCATCACTGGGAGCTTAAGTAGAGAGGGAGGCTGCAAGCATATGATTCTGGAGCAGATGTAAGACCAGACACCCCTGCGACTCTACAGCCATTTGCGAGTCTCACTTATGGCTTGGAACATCAAACGGGCTCTTTTCCTCAGCTCCAGCTGTGGAGTGCTGTGGGTTTTGATCCTTGCGCTCCACTAAACTCAAATAGCCTCCTCATTTTAGAGCTTTGAGGGCAACAATGCCACGCAGTCCTTTTTCATACCGACATATTTCCACCTTTGAGGAATGTCGACACTGTAATGCAGGCCCCAAGAGTAGACGCCACAAGAGGGTCCCTGAGTGCATTTATTAACCAGTATCAGATCAAACATCACAAGAACAACCTATAAAGATGGGACACTTGGGATAGATGGGATATCAGGCATTAAGAAGATGGCTTTGCATCGCAATATCTTGCATATTAATGTGATGACACATCTGTAAGCACAAAAAAGTGATAAAAGTCTACGCACCATTTTTTGGAGGTCCACTGTACTAATGCGTCCTGCTTCCTTCTTCATCTGCAAGACGCCCTTCTGGGCCAGGTTAAGGTAGGCCTGGAGATGATGCCGCATCATGGCTAGTCTCAGCACACACAGAAGCAGGATCACCCACAGACGCAATGTGTCATATGTCTTCTCAGACATCCTGAAAACAGATGAACAGGTGACATGCCACATCAGCCCAAACCCAAGTTGTGACTTGAGGAGAATTAAAAAGGTCTAACTTAAACATAAAAAATAAAAAAATAATAATAAATTGCCTTAAGTCAACATAAAATGGCAATCGCAACCCATTTTACTACTGCATTCATGAGTCGAACAAATATAGGGTGGAACTTGTTTGATTAGACTGCGCAAAAGTGGGCAATACACACAAGAATGGAACCCAAATGAGAGTTTGTAGTGGATTGCCCAATGATTACTTCCCGTCTATAAATATCAACAGCAACAACTTTTGAGGACAATTTCTGACCAAGACGTGGAAGCTGAAGAACAAATTCACCCTCAAGAGCTTATTGACTTCTCATGAAAACGCCTTTCAACCCCATCCCAAATCTTCTGTTATTCTATTTTCTTTATTCTACTTCCATTAACCACCATTAAATTACTGCTGGAGAGCGTATTTATTGGCAAGAGTTTAAAAGACTGCATTACCTACAACAGTTGGCAAATGTATGATTTGACTCACATTAAAACACAGATTTGTAGAAAAAAAGCCAGCATGGGGGTGTATCTCTCAACCTAACCCTCAGTGGGGCGTAAGCAGATAATACAAAAACGTATGAATGCGATTATACGAATTTGTCACCAATAAGTGCGTTACACTATTTGTTAACATTATTCCACCCTTCACAGCGTCAAACAAGGCCATTTATTAATTTTCATTTGAACACTGTGTACTGATGAATCATATACACAATAAGTCCAGGAACACGCATTAAGTAAATAATCAGAGCTAATTTTGTTTCCATGTTGACTTGCTCAAGTGCAGATGCTCTTGATGAACTTTAAAACAAGTTTAATAACAATTCAACAAACTAGTAATGCAAAACATAATTGTAAAATGAAATACTCACAAAGGCACACTATCTTTCCCAAATGTGGGATTTATTATGCAATCCTTTGTTATGGGCTTCACCCAGAGCAGTACCGTGATTAAGGGGGCCAAGAAGTTGATATGTAGCAAGGTCCTGAAGGATGGACACATAAAAACAACCAATTAGATATGGTAACACACAAGAGTATAAATATCAGTGGAGCAGTAAACATCAACTATCATAAAGTGACACTGCTTTAAATATACCATTTCAGCCGTACAAGAAGCATAGCAGTAATCCAGGCCTAAAAGAGGTCTAACTGTAAGCCCCATAGTGTCATGAGAGCAGGTATGGCGAGCTGGCCACACTGAAGAGGATTAGCTATGAGGTATGTGTAATGCTTAACTCCTCTTTTGTAACACAGTTACCCTAGAGCCCAATGCTGGCTGAAAATGTAGACCAGGTCCATACTTATCTGCTAACTTAGCGAGGATATAGTCAGACACTGATGAGCCACATGAATTAACATGGAAATAGTGCTGGTTAAATTAATCTTAACAAAAACATTTTTTAACACACCGTCAAATTGTACGGTCAAAGAAAAACCCACAGTTCAAGCTTTTAAAGTGACTACTAAAAGTTTTAACATAATAGTAATTATGAAAATTAGACTGAATGAATTCGTAATGGATGAAAAGACGTAATGGATTTTCTGAAACATTTACTGTGTGACTTTGCAGTTGTTTAGTGTGAGGGCATCAAGATGCATCTGGGCCAATCGCAGGCCAGGGAAGGTGAGAAAGGCTCCAATGAGAGCGCAGAGCAGAGCCAGGATCAGCTTAAAGGTCAGCTTGGATATGGGGCCCCTGTAGAGACAGAGGAAGAGAGCAAGGCCTGTTCACCGCAGGGAAGCACAAACCATCACATACACGGCTTAATCCAAACCCATGGAGACATGGTATACACTATACACACTCCCTCTGTGTATACAGCCATAATACCTACTGAGACTCAAGGCCTTGGTTCTCCAGAAATTGCATGGCACTTTCGGAAAAATTTGCAAAGCCTATGAAAGGAGAAAAAGGAGGACATATAAATAAAATGGACATAGTTGGGGTGTGTGATACATGTAATGTCTATAATAAAAAAACTAAACAAAAACACACATTGAGAGTGCATTTTAATGCTGTTACAATGCACATGAAATTCATTATATACAGGGCCAATCCCCAGTGTCTTATTATTCTAACTGAATTTATTGATTAAATGTTAAGAGTTTGACACAAAAGATGATGCATACATCTAATTAGGTTATAGAAAAGGGGTGTCCAAACCTGTTCCTGGAGGGCCACTGTTCTGCAGAGTTTAGCTCCAACCCCTAGAAACTTCCAGGCAAGTGTGTTGGAGCTAAACTCTGCAGGACACTGGCCCTTGCGGAGCAGGACTGGACACCGCTGTTATAGAATACTGCCTTTATAAAAGGTAAAAATCACTTCAAGGAAATCAGTTTAAGGCAAATATCGCCTCATAATGAAAAAGTTCATTTCTGTCACTCATGCACAAAATATGAAGACTATGAAATGCTTTGGGAGTCAGCTGTCCATGACAGGGCTAAGCTACCAGCACACACACTCAGCAAGCTATTGTCTTGTTATTGTGGTTGACAAAATCAGAAAAAATCATATGTAATGTTTTTGCCAATATTGCACACTCCTAGTCATAGTTTTGATTTTGGACCCTGGTTACAGGGTCTATGATGAGAATAGAGATAAGTTTTTTCAGAAATTGCAACATACTGCCGCCTAATGCATGGTTTAAATTATAATGCAAGAATAACAGCCTGACCCTCGCTAACAATAAGTGAAGTGAGTGATTCAAATCAAAAAGACGAAAATGGTCTACAACATAAAAGCACGGTGACTGTCATGCACTGCCTAACAAGTTTCTACTTTAGTGGACAATTATGTCAGAAATTTAACTAGGCAGCTAAAAGCTTTTCTTTTATTTTCTGCATGTGGCAACACATTCCTGGTGTTAAGCGACATCCCAAACAACAATATGAGGAACAAATATTTTCCCCACGTTTTTCTTGTGAGACTGGCTGATGCTTGGGACTGTGACTGATGCAATACAAATATGCAAAGCAAAATAGCCAATGAATGTAGCTGGTATTAAATATTTCTACCAGCATGTGTTAATTTCGGACTATCAAAAAATTCCACATCAGAACAAAATGGTCTATTACTTACTGTACAAACAAGAGAAAGCAATAGGCATAAAACCAACTTGACACTACTATACCTGTCTCAAGGCCAAATTCCAGGTAGTTCTCTGTGACAATAAGAATAGCCATGGCTTTCACAAAGAAGAAGGCGGCAAAGGTGATGCAGAGGGAACGCTCACCGCCCTCCTCTAGTCTGAAGTAGTGAGCCGTGAGGGAGAAAAGGATCTTCCTGAGAGAAAATGAAGCTAAGGAACATATTCACAAACTTTTGTACACTTGCCCCATTGTAAGAGTTTAACCGAAAAAAAAATTCCTTCGTTTTTACACACTAGCACATGAAGAGCCTACATTGGATTTCAACAGAATTTTCCTTTAACTGGCATTATTCTCATGGACCCCACATACAAACTCTCTGTACTACTGAAGCTGGTTGGATTCTAATCTAATCTAATTGAAAAGTATCCTGGCTTACATGTCTCATATTTAGTGTCACAGCAAAAGAGAAATGCGTTTAAAACACACCTCATCAAATAATGTCAAGGCTAATAATTTCCCAAAGGTGACAAACAAATTTGAAAATCAAAAAAGATGCCAAATGCAGAAAGAAAATGTCTAGCTGCGCCTCTTTGTTCCGATGCCTATGTGTGCCCGTTTTGATTATACTGGTCTAGGGTCAATCATTCAACTTGTGGCTACGACGTGCAAATCTGCAAGGCAAGCGGGCGGCCATCTGAGGAAATGTTTCAGTGACCATCACTTTGACAAGGCCATTTTCCCCACCACACACTCTCCACTGCGATCAGGAAAAATGGCTCCTTCCTGTCCACATTCAGCCATTTGCACACATATAGACCTATCATCATCGTCATCATCTTCATCACCCTACCAGGCACCTTCCTTACTTCCTCTCTTTTTCCCAGGCAAATCAGTCCGGTGGGCCGTGAAAATTGGGCCTCCAATCTTCTGTGGCAGACTGAGCTAGGTAAAGGGCAGTGGCGAGCGCAGGGAGATTGATCTTTGTGGACAGTGCCGGGGTTAATGTGTGTGATTTGGTGAGGCACTAGAAGGGGAAAGTATCAGGTAAAAGGCAACAGGTGCAGCTTTCATCACTCACGGCTAGACTGTCCTTGCACAGAGACTGTGAAAATTGAGAAAAATCCCACAAGTATAAAGGATGTTTTAACATTTAGGGACTATGGGCACGTTATTGAATAAAGTACTTTAAGGTTCCTACTGTAGATCTGTTAAAATAACAAACAGCTCTGTATGTAAGTCACAGCAGTGCTGAAAAACTCTACTGTGTTATGGTCCTCATGCAACCACGATTTAGTAACACACCAAAATACTTGAGAAAGAGATTAATAACGGGTAGCTGACATGCTAGGTGTCATCTATATAATATAAAAAATATTTTTTTATAATTCTATTACTACTAATGGTGTTTGCTAACGTTTCTATAATTAATGCTCATATTTGTGACTAGCGAATTTAAAAACAACAACAACTATGTGTTACAGTATGGTGGCTAACCTCAAATCACCCTAATAGATGTGTTTTAATGTTAACTTGTTCATATTTTCACAAATAATATCACTAAAATTTCCTTCAGGAAATGCAGACATCATGATTTCATGTTAACTATATGGCATATTTACGTATTTTAAAATTAATTTGCTAAAAAGAACAGAACTATTAAAATATTACTTTAGATTATTATTAATAATTTATATTACTTATTATATTTTAGATTATTTTAAAGGCTAAAATCTGAAACTACAAAAAAAATTTTTTTTTAATTAAAATAATTACATTACTAATTGCTACAAATTACTAATTACATTTACATTACCATTTAAAAGTTTGGGGTCTGTAGTTTTTTATTATTATTATTATTATTATTAATTTTATTTTTTTCGAAAAAGTATTTTACACTCACCAAGACTTTTGATTTAATTGATCAAAAATACAGTAAAACTGTAATATTGTTAAATATTATCACAATATTAAACACCAGTTTTCTATTTCTATTTCTTTCTTACTGACCCCAAATTACTGAATGGTATTGTATATCAATTTTAATTTTAAATCTTGACGGAAAAAAATCAATCCATGTTATTTGTTAACTATGCTAATAACTAATTATAATAATTATTTGCAATGAAATATGACAAAAGAAAAGCAATGCAAAAAAGTAGGAGAGTATTTTAGTATTTCAAGCTACAAAGGGATACATGACAAAGGCTAAGACCAGCAGGCTCCACACCACACTGATGTTCATCTCTCCACTTGGCTCTGCCACACAGAAGTACAGCTCAGTGATGAGATACACCACAGTGGCAGCCACCGTGAAGTCCACCAGCCACTGGAATTCAGGAAAGTAATGCAGAGCTAGACCAAAAAAAAACAAAAAAAAGATGGACAAAAAGAGAAGCTTTAGAAACCAGACTTACTAAAAAGATCCTTGAAGCTCAAGGATTTGTTAAGTTTCATATAATGACAACAAGTGAGTTACCTAGTGTGTCCACTTCTGCAATGCATTTAGTCTCTAGCTGAAGGTCGATGTCTTTGGGAATAGTCATCGGCTTGTTCTCCAAGTGCCCATTGTACTTCCTGAGAAGCAACGTGAACATAACACATATAATAGTGAACAATGACACACAAAGTAGGCTAAACTGAAATACACACATGCCCAAATTACCAAGGACATTTTGGGCCCAAAACTCAAATTGAGTGCTAGAGTGCTATTTTCTCCATTCACTTGCCAGTAGTGTTGCATAAATTGTTATTGATTGTTGTAAATTAAAGTTGCTTTTTATTTATGCTTTTGAATATAACGGAATATAAAAATACAACAGTTTTATTATTAGAAAGCACATCTTTCAAAGCACATTACTTAAAATATCTAGGCCAAACCTAAGAATAATTAGCATATTTTATTAAAAAAAAAAACATACAAAATTATAACAGTATGCTATTTCAAGAACTAGCCGTTATCATCCTCTGCTGCCCAGATAAGACAGAATTTATTCAGAAGCATCTGGACTACTCCATCCATTCATTTATGATGTTTCAGCACTCTTGTAAGTGGCTTCAGTTGTAGCATGGCGGGGCTTCTCTGGCATTTAACCTAATCACACAATGCAATGCGTCACATGACTCATATCTCCTTCCTGGCGGTGTGAATTCTGATTGCTATGTGAAGTGGGATGTCATCATCAGGGTGAGAAGTTCAGACGCTCCCAGTTCACATTTTAAAAGACACTTTAGTTTCATTTATTTGATTAACATTCAGCTGTAAGTTGCATGGGATGACATAGTTTAACTCAATTACACTACTACAATGATTTCATACAGCTGTCATGTTGACTACCTACTCTTCACTTTAACAAATACATGAAACTACAATATAGCCTACAATGAATTAGCAATGAATCAGCTGACTAACTTGGAGAACAATGGAAATAATGTCCTTTAAACTATTTTTTAAGTGACAACACTTAAACATCACTGTACACAATACAATTTCTCATGACTACTGAAATCATTCGTGAAGTGTTGCAATACAAATTGATAACACTTTTTGTTGTCATAATTAATACAACCTTTTATAATAGTTTGACCATAAACAGAAGTGTATTTTTCCTGAATTTCCTTTTTAAAGAGAATAAATAAACCATATATTAACATCACAGAGTATCATCAAATCAAACGTAATACAATACAGTGGTCAAACGATAATAAATGCTTATAATTATGAGTGTTACCTATACACTACTATTCAAATGTTTGTGGTTGGTAAGATTTTATAAATGCTTTTTAATGTTTCTAATTCTTAACAAGGCTGCATTTATTTGATTAAAAATATATAGTAATAACAGTAATATTTATTCCTGTGATGGCAAAGCTGAATTTTCAACTCGAGTTTGTGTTACATTATCATTCAGAAATCATTCTAATATGCTGATTTGCTGCTTAAGAAACATTTGTTATTACTATCGTTGAAAAGAGCTGCGCTGCTTAAGACCATGAAACCATGATACATCTGTTTTCAGGATTATTTGATGAACAGAAATTTCAAATAAAAAATAAAAGTCTTTACTGTCACTTTTGAACTTTTAGGGCCTTTAATTGTTAACACTGAAGCTAAATCGATACAATTTCATTTATTCACAATGATGAATGAAAGCAAAAGTATCAACGTGTGGGATCTGCAACTTTTTCCAAAGGACAGCAGATTTTTCGCAGTCCTAACTGAGGGCTCTGTCTCTATTGGAAACCAAACACCAGAGATTGCACATTTTACTGGGGATTAGAGGAGCCCTCCTCGCCATTGAAAAAAGAGCTAAATCCACACAACGTTCAAATCAAACATATTTCCACCCAACTCAAATGCTGTCTGCATGACAAAGAATAGAGAAATGAATGTCAGGCTCCGCTGGGAACGGTGGGATATTGGAAAGGGGCACAGGCCTTAGCGTGAACGGGTCTAGTATGCAAGCTTTCTGCCCCGTGGCTCCAAGCCAGCTGAACTCGAGATTCTTGGACTTCTCCTCCGGGTCTCTGTTGTTTACATAGGTCAGTGTGCACAATGGTGTTCAGCACAAAAGCACTGTGGGCATGGTAGTCTCCCTGCTCTGGATTGCAGCATACCTGCCTGACAAAATGGCCCAAGAGCTCCCTGCAGAGCAAAAATGGGCTTTTGTCTGAGAACAGGAGGTAGGTATAATAGAGCTGACTATCAAAACTAAGCTGCTAGACACAGGCTAGTCTACCTTCTTAGGGAATTAGCATTGTATGCATAGTCCACTGCAGAATATGGGCAACAAAGCTGCTTGATTTTTACCACTTTGTTAAAGCCACCAAATGTTTTTTGATACACAAAAGTCAAATGTGTACGAATTTGGAGAAAAGCACAACAGTGATGCCGTGTTATACCTGTCCTTCTTGCTCTTGCCTCCTTTCTGCTGTTTTCCAGCTAAAGTCCTCAGCTCATCTTCTGTGGGATGCTGGTACCAACGCAGACTAAAAAGACAAGAAGTAGTACAGGTGCATCTCAAATTAGAATGTCGTGGAAAAGTTCATTTTTTTCAGTAATTCAACTCAAATTGTGAAACTCGTGTATTAAATAAATTCAGTGCACACAGACTGAAGTAGTCAGTCTGTGTGCCAAGTCTTTGGTTCTTTTAATTGTGATGATTTTGGCTCACATTTAACAAAAACCCACCAATTCACTCTCTCAACAAATTAGAATATGGTGACATGCCAATCAGCTAATCAACTCAAAACACCTGCAAAGGTTTCCTGAGCCTTCAAAATGGTCTCTCAGTTTGGTTCACTAGGCTACACAATCATGGGGAAGACTGCTGATCTGACAGTTGTCCAGAAGACAATCATTGACACCCTTCACAAGGAGGGTAAGCCACAAACTCACCAGACCTGAACCCTATAGAGAATCTATGGGGTATTGTCAAGAGGAAAATGAGAAACAAGAGACCAAAAAATGTAGATGAGCTGAAGGCCACTGTCAAAGAAACCTGGGCTTCCATACCACCTCAGCAGTGCCACAAACTGATCACCTCCATGTCACGCCGAATTGAGGCAGTAATTAAAGCAAAAGGAGCCCCTACCAAGTATTGAGTACATGTACAGTAAATGAACATACTTTCCAGAAGGCCAACAATTCACTAAAAATGTTTTTTTATTGGTCTTATGAAGTATTCTAATTTGTTGAGATAGTGAATTGGTGGGTTTTTGTTAAATGTGAGCCAAAATCATCACAATTAAAAGAACCAAAGACTTAAACTACTTCAGTCTGTGTGCATTGAATTTATTTAATACACGAGTTTCACAATTTGAGTTGAATTACTGAAATAAATGAACTTTTCCACGACATTCTAATTTATTGAGATGCACCTGTATATTACCGTCGCTGAAAAACAAATAGCTCTTGAAAACCTAAACATACGTTCAATACCGTTCAAGAGTTTGGGGTCATGTTTCTGAAAAAAGTCTATTTTCACCATTGTGCATTTATTTGATCAAAAACACAGTAAACTGATTTATTATGAAATATTATTACTGTTTTCTATTTACCGGTATGTATATATTTTAAAATGTAATTTTTGTATAAGATAATTTATAAATTATTAGAATTATTAAGGTTTTAACACATTGACATCGAAAATGTCTCAATATATGCAAATCCTTTGTGTTGCTCTGTGTGTTGTGCTGTGTTTACAGCATGTTTAATATAATAATAATAATATAAAATTACATTTAGTTTTCTTTGAAATAACTGAAAAATAAAAAGTTTCTAAATTTACACAACAAAACCTCCATGAGTCAATTCTTCTGTTATTTACACTGTCTCTTGACAATTTACCCCACTGTTACCATATTTGCTGTAATGCCAACTCATTCATGTTTAAATTGAAATAAAAATGAAAATAAAATTTAAATAAACTGTTACCATTTTGACAATCATATTATTATTTTACCTGATACTGTAATTTCTAATCAGGTGTCTTATAGAACACTTAAAATTCAAGTGAATTCAAATGGAAATGTGAAATTATACACAAATAACATATACTCATATAAGATGTATTATGAATAATATACTCATAAAAGATCGTAATTGAAATATCTTGCTGTACTTGACATGAGCGTAACAGCATTGCTCGCTGCCTCCTCATCCTCACACAGTCCAGCAGCCTCTTGGATACTTCTCAGGAAAAAAAAAAAGGTTTCAGAGCACTGACCACGCAATGCAGTGGCACACCCAGGAACAACAACAAGAAGTGAAGTTGAAGTTCTCAAGGAATAGTTGGTGTCTGTCCATGAAGAGGGGGCTGGAGCGTTAGCATAACAAAGGCCCTAGAGCATGTGAACTTGAGGAACCTTTCGACCCCGCAGCTTGATGTTTGAATGGCGCTAAGGCCTCCTCATAGAGCTCCTCCACCACTCTACTATTCGTGGCTAAATTGCTAATCAGGGTAATTTAAATTTAAACTTTTCAATATGCCTCCATCTCTCATCAGCCTCTGCTCCTCTTTCACACACTCGCACACACACACAGTCGCACACACACACACAGCTTGCTCTCTCTTTTTATTTAGTCTGTTCAGATAGGCAGCTGTTGCTCATAGTTCTCTGTGCAAATGAAATGCTGGAAGTGTGTGTGTGTGTGTGTGTGTGTGTGTGTGTGTTTGGTGGCACTGTAGTACCTCTGTACATCAATGACATAAATAACATCACAATCAATCACTTACGCCCATTATGGCACTGGGAAATTAATCAGGAATATCAAAGCGCAATGCATTTTTATTTTGTTGCTATTTACTCTGGGAAAAAGAAAAAAAAAAGCATTTGAATGATGCATTGTAGTTAATGTATTTCTTTCTCTCTCTAAGGAAAATGTATAAGATGACAGCTGCTCTCGCAAAACAATTCAACACAAGTCTGACATCTATTTTAACCATCGGCAATGATTCTCACTCTCTATCATGCTAGCTGTATGAACGTCCTCTAAACCTCACTTCGTTTTGATAACATCTCAATCTTTGTCAATTTCTCTTACACATTTTGAGGCCCTTACCAATATGTTTGCTCAAATGCAAGGGATGTCATGTTTAGGTGTGTTTGTCATGGCAGGGTGATATCAGTGCAGTGACGATGTGTGTGTGTGACTCAGAGCGAAGGCTGCGGTATATGAGTAACAGTGAAGGTCCAGCTCTGTCTTCAGACCCTATAAATACAGTAGTGTATGACTCAATCCTCTGAATGAATCCAGGTTAAATTGTACAGGTGCATCTCAATAAATTAGAATGCCGTGGAAAAGTTAATTTATTTCAGTAATTCAACTCAACCACTGGGCGACAGTCCAGTTCTTCTTCTCCTTAGTCCAGGTAAGACGCCTCTGACGTTGTTTGTGGTTCAGGAGTGGCTTAACAAGAGGAATACCACAATTGTAGCCAAATTCCTTGACACGTCTGTGTGTGGTGGCTCTTGATGCCTTGACCCCAGCCTCAGTCCATTCCTTGTGAAGTTCACTCAAATTCTTGAATCGATTTTGCTTGACAATCCTCATAAGGCTGCGGTTCTCTAAGTTGGTTGTGCATCTTTTTCTTCCACACTTTTTCCTTCCACTCAACTTTCTGTTAACATGCTTGGATACAGCACTCTGTGAACAGCCAGCTTCTTTGGCAATTAATGTTTGTGGCTTACCCTTCTTGTGAAGGGTGTCAATGATTGTCTTCTGGACAACTGTCAGATCAGCAGTCTTCCCCATGATTGTGTAGCCTAGTGAACCAAACTGAGAGACCATTTTGAAGGCTCAGGAAACCTTTGCAGGTGTTTTGAGTTGATTAGCTGATTGGCATGTCACCATATTCTAATTTGTTGAGAGAGTGAATTGGTGGGTTTTTGTTAAATGTGAGCCAAAATCATCACAATTAAAAGAATCAAAGACTTAAACTACTTCAGTCTGTGTGCACTGAATTTATTTAAAACACAAGTTTCACAATTTGAGTTGAATTACTGAAATAAATGAACTTTTCCACGACATTCTAATTTATTGAGATGCACCTGCATATGTGAGTGTATGTGTGCGTGCTTGAACACGAATGTGAGACTGTCATCAGGACAGCCAGTTCAGATTTGTAGAGAGCCTGTGTGCAAGTGGAGACCTCTAGGGTTCAGTAACTCAGCTTCTATGATAGAGATGCAAGGCCACATCCATCTGTAAAGATGGATGCATTTATGCATTTAGCAGATATTTTCCTACCAAAGTCAGCGGCACAATAAATAAATAAATAATAATAATACAAACTAATAAAAAAAACAATAATAATAAAAATAAAATACCGTAAATTAAATAAATGATATAAGTGACCCTGGACCACAAAACCAGTCATAAGTCAATAGCCAGTCAATAGCTTGTATACATTGTACATTATACATGTCACTTTGTATGGGTCAAAATTATAGATTTTTCTTTTATGCCAAAAATCATTAGGATATTAAGTAAAGATCATGTTCCATGAAGATATTTTGTAAATATAACAAAACATAATTTTTGATTAGTAATATGCATTGCTAAGAACTTCATTTGGACAACTTTAAAGGTGATTTTCTCAATATTTAGATTTTTTTTGCACCCTCAGATTCCAGATTTTCAAATAGTTGCATCTCAGCCAAACATTAATAACAATCCTGTCCTAACAAACCATACATCAATGGAAAGCTTATTTATTCAGCTTTCAGACTTCCTCTGGGCACAAAACACTGGTCTGTCTGTCTCTTGAACATTTTCCTCATTCTTTGTTGTGTTATTATGAGCTGGGTATTTACATATAGTATTTTCTGTGCAAAATATTATTGTTAAGTAAAATACATTCTTTGGATTATGCATTTAAAATTGTATTCCAACGCAAAAAAACAAGCACTTTATAGGGGCATCTCTTAATACTTGTCCAAGATTGGAAAAATACAACATATTTTTGTGATATTTATAAGGCTGAAACTGGTTGAAATTTGCACAATGCTTCAGGCGACGCAGGCATGCATGGAGAGGATGGAAGGCTATGCTATATATACACACAGAGATATCACACACACGCAGACAGATATTCTCATGGTCTATGGGTAATTTGCATCAGAGTTAGTCATGGTAAGGCCTCTCTCCCACAGCGGAACGGGGATGGCAGACACTCCCTCATGGGTGATGTGTGTGAGGTGTCTGTCTTTAAATCCTCAACCACATAAAACATCATCTGGTGTCGTCTACTGAATGTTATCATAATCAAAAATGCCATTGTTCCTTTATTAGGCCTAAATATAATTAGTTTGCAGGAAATAAAGTGTGATATAAAGTTTTGTCCTGTATTTGCAGTTGGCTTTACACATTTATCTATTTTAATTTTGTATAAAATAAAAAAATATGTAAGTTAAATATTTTATTATGCTTTTTTATAATTGCTTTTTTAATTACATTTTTTTTTTAATAAAGCGATATTCAGTCGTTGAGGGTTTATTCTACATTTTTTACTTTTTCTGATAGGGACACATGTCTTGAAGTTCAAGTTGAAGGCTTCACTGAGTTTAGACAGCGACATTTGGTGTCTGACAAGGCAAGTAGTGAAAGGCTATGGAAACAAATGAAGGATGGGTCTCTAAGGACCTCCGCTGTGGTCGGAGCGCTGGGTGAGGGGGCTTTGTCTAGACCAGACCTCTTTTGTGAGTCCCCCGTGATCTCTATGTCCTGTCTGAATGGAGGAACTTGACCCTAGGACATGGCCTAGTGATAGAGATACTGAATCAACGGTTGCATTTATATATATAGTAAATATCAACTCAAACCCCGAAAATCACAATCTAAAGTATGTACGATTTTAGAGATGATTTAAGATTAGTCTCAGATTTATAGAAGAATGAGTTTCTGGAGTTTGTGAGATGTCATTTGTGCTTTGCATATTAATGTTTGCATCTCATGAATAGAATCAAATAGGTGTTAAATTCAGCGAGACAGCAATAGTCTGCAGTCTGGCTGATCCACGGTCATAAGCCCACTGGATAATGGACAGGGACACTCATGGATAAGTTTGGAGGGGCTTCAGTGAGAGAGGGTTTTAGGACCCAAGTATTATTTTGCACTGCAATTATACATGTATGAATGATGAATTAAATTGAGATGATTTTCAATTCTCTGATGGGTTTTAAGGACAGTGAATTGAATCGTAATACAAGATTGTGCATTTTTACTCATACAAAGGCTAATTAACAAATGTCGCCGGCATGTATGATGTTTTTGGCAGAAATATGAGAGCAACTGATGAAGGTTTTTTTTTTTTACCATGTCAATTAAATTGCTTTTGTATTTTTTTTGTGTGTTCTAAAATGAATAGTACAGGCAAACAATAAAATCTAGTCATGCGTTCATGAGACAAGGAGCGATGTTCAATTGATCACTTTTATATATAAGTGGCCTTAGAAATCAGTCATAAACAAATCAAAACCCTTCTGATATCGGAAAATCTTGATGCTTTTCCTGCTTTTAGTTCTTCTTCAAAAAGAAATTATGATGAGGTTCAGTGTTTAGTTTTGTCTAAAGAGGTTTCCCTATACCCTATGTAACATATTTAAAAGGGCCAACTGAAATTATCTTTACAGGGTTAAAAAAAGACAACATAACTTAGGACTCATAAAACAATAATGCTATGACTGTTGGTTCTGTATCAGTTAAAAAGCACTCCACTTGTTTAATCCACACTGCCTCAAGGCATGCTGGGAGAAGAAAGGGGCTCTCAGAGCAGTGGGACAGCCAGATGAGATACAGATACTAATGTCAGACTCAGCTATATAGAGTCCAAACACATTCAAACACTTGCCTGAGCCATTCACAGTAAATTCTGTATTTCTTATTTTTAATTGTGAGATGAATGTGAATATGTTAAGTTAAACTTTAGTCAGAAACATTGTTTCTATCATGTATTTCAAACTAATCCTTTCCCATACTTATTAAAATCTATAATTGCATGCCTCTCTTCATTGCTGCTTATTTTCCAGAAGAAATTCAACTGTTGTTTACCATTGTCTGTTATGTCTTTGTGGCTTGTCACAGTCCTCATAAAGACAGTGATATTCCCTCAAAATATGACAGCAGTGAACTCGGCAAACCAGAAATAAATCACAAAATGCAAGGCTTCAGCTAGCCTGTTATTGACCAATATAAACATTTTACACACACCAAGTGTGGTTTTGTAGCAATAAGCAACCATGTGACTATCAATGCACACATGCAGAGTGGGGAAGGATTAAACTGTCCTTGTGTCTGAGCTCAGGGGTCTTCTACATCTCCAGCATCTCCAAAACTATACCAGAGTCTGGATTGCACTTTAGCGTCACATTAGCCTAATTTCACGGACAAAAAAACAACAACTCCATTGTGTATTGTCAATAGTGCAGCGATGTATGAAGAACTGTTCACACAGAACTTACTGTACGAATCCTCGTGCCCAACTTTAACCCTTTGCAAAATCAACGTGGGGAAAACTTTTGTCCACAAGCGAAGTTCCTGTCACGGTGATTGATTCCTTATTTTTAACGTAAGAGCGGGGGTAGCTTGCTACGTCAGCTGCTACCAGTTACTTCAGCTACAAAAAAAAGTCTGTTATGCTGCTTGATGTTGTAAACTAGGCCTAGTATTTTTCTATTAACATAGGGTGACCATACGTGCCATTTTCCCAGAACGCGTCCTCGCCAGTGTTGCCAACTGCTTTCAATTGAAAGTAGCTAAAATTGGTGGCTAAATGTCACTAGATGACATCACAATGGCAAATTCCCTGATCTATATAAATATGAACGTAGATCAGTGGGCAAGATGAGAACTTGGATAAGGTTTGTCCAAGAAGTTGCTATTTTTGTCCCTAAACTTTAGAAAAAAGTCTCAAAAGGGGCGGGGAAGTCGCTAAATCTAGCTACAAAGTAGCTAAATTGGCAACACTGGTCCTGGCCAGGATTTGTTTTGGCTTTGTTTTCCTGTTTTCATGCTTGCTGAAGGTAATGATCGAAAAGTAGTTTGACCAATAACATGCAAGCATTGTACATAATGGACCAATCATGGCGTGTGAGAAGGTGGGATCTACGGTCAAAGAGATGCAATTACGCGTGCATATTAGGTGTGTTCGACTTAAAAGCAGTGCGGCTCAGACCGATCAGTGTTTGACATCAAAGTACCTCGAGAGCGTTTCGAAAGCATAACCGTCTGTATGGTACTTTGATGTCATACACCAATCGGTCTGCACATGCAAACAAAGCCAAAACCTAGATATTTTAGGCAATATAGAAGTCCTGGCAAGGACGCGTCCTGGGAAAATGGCACGTATGGTCACCCTAATGTAGGCACTGACCAAAAAGAAACCACACACAATAGTCTACATAATCAAATTATTGTCATTTGGACCCACTCGTGAATTTCTGTAAAAACATTTTTATAGCCTAAATCATATTGTTGTAGCCTAACAATTCACAAGCGGTTTACACTGTGTCTGCTTGTGTTTATGAGTGAAACCCGTTTATGAGTAAAACCCTTGTTTATGAGTGAAAGTCTCAAGTTCAGACTTCATGGTGCCAGGCTAAAAAAAAAAAAAACTAAAACCTGCTACAGTTTTAGTGTGGCCCAAAACTTGTTGTTCTCAGTTTGAAGCGAGAGAGAGAAACCTCACAGGCCACTGAAACCCATCTGTGAAAATCAGTGCGGCATGTGTTCTGTCACAGGGGCCTCTTGCACAGGTAGATCTGTGCTTTGGAGGACATCACCCAGCTTGCTTGGGAATTCTGACTGGCAGACAGACACTCTGGGAATATGTCACAGTTCTCTCTTTAAAAGTTCTCTTTGTGATATTCAGCCCGACTCTGCGCGAGTACATATACACAAACGCACAGGCGCAGCGGCGCATACAGTACACCTTGTGCTCCAGCATATGCTTGGCTTTTCAGATGTATCCCTCTATTTGTCTGTAGAGAAATCCAAAAGAAGCTCCCTTTACAATTCAACTGGCTCTCATCTCCTTTAGCATGAAAGTGTGGAAAGTTTGGAAAGGAAGTGTTTTGGTATCTCACCATCCGTGGGGAGTGCGTGGAGTATCACGCCTTGGAGGCTTTTCCCCTCCTTCCCGTTTCTCCCATCTTTCCAATAAGAATAAGATAACACAAAGACCTGCTATTGGGAGATAAAGGTGAAATACTGCACAGTACTTTCCTCTTTCTTAAAGCAAGAAAAGAGAGAGAGAGAGAGCAAGTCCTGGAGTAATGGAGTTTTTAAAGTTAGATACCTCTCGCTGGCCTCACCAAGGTCACTTTCTTTGGCCTTAAAAGCACTCTCACTTTATTTTCTTTTTCTCTAAATTTCAAATGTCAACAAAAAGTATATTGAGTTTCATTGTTTGCGTTTGATTTCGGATCATTCGTAAGTGATTCTAAAGCAAAGCTAGCGGGGCTTTTTGTGGTTCTGTGTGCTTACAGACAATTCAATTGTGCCGTGGAGTTAAGCGGCCGGTGCCATTGTTCTGGGAAGATCTACTCTAAAACTGTGTTTCATAACTGAAGATGGAACATCAGTCATCATAGATTTACAATGGACATCAGTCAGTCAATATGCCTAATCAGATTCTACCTCTGCCCGTCATTTGTCATTCTTCATTATTTTCCATCTCTGCGTTATAGATTACGAGTCTGGGACCATTAATCTGAAGATTTGGACTGAAACAACTGAGATGGTGAATTCATGTGTTTGTCAGATCTCCGAGAGGGTGTCTGGAGCTACTGAATCAACTAAATGCAGCTCTGTGGAAGTAGAACAACTGCTGGAGGGTTTGTGTGTGATTTCAATAAGAGAGTCAGTTAAAAATGGTCAGAAAAATTAGGACTTATGTGAAAGACACCAGAGACATTAATTGGGTTTTTGTGTTTTATGACAACTAACCATAAACAAAATTATTTTTATACTGATTTTTTAACTTTTCTATGTCCTAACTCTAAACCAAACCCTTGCAGAAAATATTCTGCATGTTCACCTTTAAAAAAAAAAAGAAAAAAAAATGGCATGATTTATAAATAGGTTTTATATTGGGGGCCAATATTTTGACCCCACAATAAAAAAAAAAACATCAGGTTTTACTATCCTTGTGGAGACTTTTGGTATATACCTGGACCACACATTACACACACACACACACACATATTGTGTGGGGTCCAAAAATTATGAGACCACTAGTGAAAATGCTATAGTTTTCATAATTTAATACACACACTGTAAAAATGATTGTAATTTTAAGTGTTAAAAAAATTTAAAAACGCAACAGTAAAAACCTGTTAACAGTATGTTTCCTCGCTATTTACAATGAAACACTGCAATAGATCTAACCTTACATAATTTCGCAGCAAGATGCTGTTAAATGTAGCATTTTTGGACATCAAAGAAGAAAGAAGTCATTGTATAGTTTGCAGTGAAAAACTATAAACCGCCATTCCCAGAATTCTCTGTGTGACAGCTCAAATTTGATAGTATTTCATTTAAATAACTGTTTCTTAAGTTTTTATCATTGGTAATATAGATAAGGGTTTACATCTTACGTTGTTAAATGAATGTTTATTACATTATTTTAGTATTGAAAAGTTAAATAAATAAATGGACTCAATATTGTATAAAACCAGATGATTCAACATTCAGCCTACATGATTCAAAGAGCATGTTGAGCTTCAATGGAAGCAAGAACATTTAAGGACATGCTCAATGTCACAAATTTGATAAGTGACCTATAGAGTAAATAGTGCATGATATTTCTCATTTTTAAATCTTAATGTTTCTTTCCATGAAATCTATATATACTAATAGCATTTTTTGAACCCCACAGATTTAGTATTTTCAATCCCACTGTATACACATGTAATTCACACTCTCAATGCATTTTATTTCGATTTAGGTATGTTTTCCCATATTTCCTTTCCTCACTGTTGCTTAGGGTTGTTTGGTTTGGTCTTAAGAGCAAAACACCTTTTCTGCTCCAGATACAGGCAACACCTGGCCATAACAGAGTCACATGACACTGAGGTCAGAACGACACACAATGCCTGGCTTTGTGTTCAGGTGTTCTGGTAGTCTCCCATGTGATCAACTCTTTGTGACACATGCAGAAAGAGCAGAATATATGAACGTTCATTTCCAGACCAAAGAAGCTTTATTCGTGCATTTTGACCACTTCCTGATGCAATTCAGAGAAAACAGCAAACCAGCTTTTCTGGGACATTAAAACATGAAATTCGTCTTGCTCATTTTACCTTAGTCACATTATGTGGGACTAAACTGTTTCAAGAGAGCTACTTTGCATTATGCTTGTGAAATACTTGTGTAAAATGTGTATAAATCAAATCCAAGCAATGACATTGAGACTAGACATTATTGTTCTTTCATATTGTGTGCGTGAAATTTTTGAACAATGACAAGCCAGAGAAAACTTAGATCCGAGAACGGAAAGAAAGGATAATTGTACATTATAATCGTAGAAATATTGTAGAGGTGACATGTTCAGACTGAAGCAATAATTCCCTGTGTGGCAGTCCCTTAGTGTGGTACTGATTCAACCATGTCAACCCTCTCAATGGATCCGAGACTGATCATTTTAATACCCAGGATATTAAATATTTCATCACCCACAGTTCAGCAAATAAATCACAAGACCTGTTCCCTTTTTTAGAAAAATGCACAATTTATTGAATGAATAAAATCTACAAGAGTGTTGAAAAGTTGGACCCTATAGCAATTTCATAAAAAATAATGCACTCCACACAAGGTTCAAGGGTTATTCAAGCTACTTTGTATGTTGCACACAATGTGCTGTCAGACCGCACCGCAACATTAGGTCACAGTGGTCATCTTTCCATGTCGGCAAAGCTGAATGAAATGGGCAACTCATTGGGTTTGTGACCTCGCGTCTTCAGCTGCTGGACACTAATGAGGGTGGCATGTGCTGGAGAGAGCTCTCTCAACCTGCAGCAGAGAGAAGAACACTTTAGAACGGACAGTCTTTTAGATCTACACGACACAGAAATGTGACATTAAACATGATTAAACATGAGGAGCTTAAAGTTAAAATTGCATTCAGTTCTGTAAAAATGTGTCAAAAATTAATCACAGTGTGTCAACTGTTTTAATGCAATTTACAAAAAATTATGTTGAGTCTTACTCTGAGTTCATGTCATCAAGTGTTTCTTTTCTCAATTACTACAATAATTTTGTTCAAGTGTACTATATATACAGCAACAACAGCAAATGTAGATGAAAGTTTTTTTTTTTTTAAACGTTTGAATTTTGTTTTACAAGATTAATTTCATACTTTTTTTGGGCCATTTCTTAATTCAGTTTGACATTTGTCCTACAATTCAAGTCCATAAAACTTCGAGAAATCTGTGATTTCTAGGCAAGACTGTATAGTCACTGGTTGTGTTTAAAATCATGGTAAAACTTTAGCATAGGGATTAATTCTCACTATTAACTAGTTGCTTATTATAGCATGCCTATTATTAACATATTGGATTTTTATTAGTACTTATAAAGCACATATTCTGCATGACCATATTCTATATCCGTAATCCTACCCAATACCTAAACTTAATAACTACCTTAATAACTATTAATAAGCAGCAAATTAGCAGTTTATTGAGGCAATTTGTTAATAGTGAGAATTGGACTTTAAAACAAAATGTGACCAAATAAATTTTAAGTGTAACAAACTTTATGTTACGGCTCATCTCATCAAAATTTAGCATCAGAACTATCCAGCAAATACAAGCTCTTCAAGTAACAATCAAAAGGGGATTCTCAAAAAAAGTATTTTTTTCATAAAAGCTTTGTTATTCCTCACTCTGGTCTGTGAGTGATTTGACACAAATCACTAATTCTGACATTAAGCCCTCACAAATCCCTTGCTGCTCAGTTAGTCCAGCTCAAGCTACCATGATCATTTCATTTATCAAGAAACTGAAAAGAACCTCACTCTCTCTCTCTCTACGGCACAAGGGAAGAGTCCTCATAAGCATCACAAAGTTTTCCACACAGCTTGCCAGTTTTATTAAAAGTTGTCTAGCACTAGGAGGGATTCTGACATTCCCAATATTCCAGGCTGTCTGTCGGCCGGCTTACAATGCCTCTTTAATATAGATACACACTTAATCCAAGTGAACAGTTTGAGGAGAACAGATCAATGAGAAATAAAACATGGAGGATTGTAGCAAAATGAACTGTCTCTATTGCCCTGTCAGATCTTAAGTGCACATTCATAAGCTGAATTCTGAAATGGTTTGGCTCTAATAGACTCGGGATGGCCCTCTGACTGCTGCTCTCAGGATCTTTCTTCTGAAATGAAACCTCATCGCAGGCACTTCTTCACATAGGTGCCATTGTTTTCCTCTTTTCTGTGCTTCAAATTCGCAATAAAAACAAAACAGTACAATGCACGCACAAGACGGAATGATGCTTTAAATTTCATTGCCTTTTGAGATCTGACTCGCATCCTGAAACATCATCTTAGATGAAATGGACACTTCTCATTTCCACGACTCCTTCCACCGACCAGGAGTTTGACTTCTCAAACTTCTCCTTCGATTCTTCAACAAAAGGAAACTAAACCCTGCCTCATTATGAAACGAGAATCACTTCGAATCTAAACCATTATCACAGTACAGTACGTGACTGACAAAAAGATCACCAAGTTCTCAAAAAGCTTCATGTACTGTTCGCGAACAAAGAGGAAAACAATAATCGAGTGTCCGCCACTTTCTTGTCTTCACCTTTGTTCCTCCTCATCCTCTCACATGGTTTTTGCTTACACGTCTCCTTATAACCTGATAAGAGTGTGTTTTTTTTATTGTTGTGAAGAACACAGTTCTGGGAGGGTCTGTGTTTCTGCTTCCCCTCATTATTTCTTGTTTGCTGTTGGGCAAGAGAATAACTTACCCGATTCCACTTACCCCCTTGTAGCTTTCTCCCTCTTTGGTTATTATAGTATTATATTTCTTAAAACCTTAGAAGGGGATAACAAGCATGAGATTTTACTCAGGAGAGGGCCTTTATGCTGGTAAATATACTGTTAGCCGTATCTTAGCTGTGTTTCTAACGTGTTTCCAGGCTTCCTTTGAAGTTTTACTGCAGGTAGGACACTGTGGACGTCGCTTACGGTCATGTTGCCAGCACTTTCTTCAGTGGCTTGTTAGATTTGTCTCATCCAGCCATCTCCATTCTAAATCTCTTGTCCCAGAAAGTAAATAATTAAATACAAAAATCAAGACAACAACAAAAAGTACTTCAACCCAGAGGAATAAATTAAAAGTGCTTGCTACATACAGCACGCTGCCTCAGGAGAAGCATGTTGCTTTGAAGTGTGGTCCAAGATCAGCACAGATATGTTTTCAGCATCAGTTTTCTTTTACTGACTCTGCAGAATTCATCACTCTATCTGTGTCAGATTCCTCTCAGACCGCACATTATTTCTCTGAAAAATGAAAGAGGTGCTTGAGCCACTCTTTCCCGAACTGAACCCCGTGACTCAATGCGGCACGCGCTAACCACTCTTGCTTGATGTGACCACACTGCTGTCCTGAATGAAAAGAGCAACACCATCTAAGAACTCACCTAGATTAAGCTAAATTAATGTGCACTGAATACTGATAACAGGGACAATAAGAAGTACATTTGCAGTTTGGGCCACTAAACCAGCTATTCAATCAAAGATGATACTCCAGTGAAAAGCAAAAAAAGTCTACCAGCCTAAAATGGTTTGCCAGTTTTATTTGGTCTCCCAATCTGGTATACTGGCTGGTTTTGGCTACTTTTTAGACTAGGACAGGGCTTTTTTTTTCATTCTAACCCCTCTGGCCTAAAATATTTACCACCCGAGAAGCTTTAATATCTAAAAAAAAAATTTAACAACACATTTGCATGATCATAGTTCTCTGATGTTAGACAAATAAAATATTTAATATTTTTAGAAAGTGTTATTATTTTTTACCTGTAGATTGTAATTTATATTTTAATAATTTAATTAATTATTAGCTTTTCATTCTCTCACAAACCTCTTACAGAGGAGAACTGGCTTCCTCACTAAGCCTGGTTTCCTTCAAGGTTTTTTTTGGTCCATTTCTGTCACTGATTGAGTTTTGGTTCGTTTCTACTGTCACCTTTGGCTTGCTTAGTTGGGGACACTTAAAGGATTATTCCACTCCAGAGTTAAAATTACCCAATAATTTACTCACCCCCGTGTCATCCAAGATGTTCATGTCTTTCTTTCTTCATGCGAAAAGAAATGAAGGTTTTTGAGGAAAACATTCCAGGATTTTTTTTCCATATAGTGGACTTTATAGGGTACCAACGGGTTACAGTTTCAATGCAGCTTCAAAGGGCTCTACACGATTCCAGTCGAGGAATAAGGGTCTTGTCTAGCAAAATGATTGGTCATTTTCTAAAAAAAATAAATAAAATGTATATACTTTTTAACCACAAATGCTCATCTTGCACTAGCTCGACCTCACGCATCACGTAGTCACATTGGAAAGGCCACACGTGATGTAGGCAGAAGTACCGACCCAGCGTTTACAAGTGTGAAGAAGGAGGACCATTCAAATAAAAAATTATGGTATGTTGAATGACATATATGTCTTTGTATCAGTTTATTATTTATTTAAAATGGTCAGTTCAAGTGCATATCCTGTATGTTTAAATCGCAAATTCGTGGAAGCGCATTTTTATTTTTTTATTTATTTTAGAAAATGGCCGATGGTTTTGCTAGATTAGACCCTTATTCCTTGGCTGGGATCGTGTAGAGCCCTTTGAAGCTGCATTAAAACTGCAATTTGGACCTTCAACCCGTTAGTCCCTGTTGATGTCCGCTATATGGAGAAAAATCCTGGAATGTTTTCCTCAAAAACCTTACTTTCTTTTTGCCTAAGATGACAAAATGTGCCAGTGTTTTTCTTAATGATCTTGGATGACATGGGGGTGAGTAAAATCTCAGTAAATTTTCAATTTGGAGTATTGCAATTCCACAGTCACTATTGTAAGAGAACTGAACTGAGCTGGACGATGACATGAACTGACTTTAACAGAAATATTGACAATATTTACTATTGTCTTCTTTTTAGAGCTGCTTTACAGCAAAATTGAATTTTGTTTGCATTATTGATACACTATTTTCCTGTTTAACACACTGAAACTGCTTTCACACAATCTGTATCGTTTAATATAACTTGACTTGACTTGCACCTCAGTTTTGGAAAAAGCAGCTTGACCAGCTAAGACCAGCAAAACAGTCGTTTTGGTTCATCGTGCCTTTGATTCCTAGTCAAAGGGTTTTAAACAGTGTAAATGAGTGATCTTTACTTTTTTCTTTGATTTACCTCAACCAGCTTTAAATGGTGAATTGTTTTTCTCCTTCTGTGACCACTTCTTAACCTCAGATATGACCCCTTATTTTATGTGACATAAAAACTGAAAAGTCTACTAACCTTCCTTTCTCACATCAAAGAGCAGCGCACCTCCTCAGAAGCATCACTAGAAGGAAAGAAAAAACACAATAATTAGTGTCATGTGTGAATGAACTGCTCCTATACGTCTAGTTAAACCCGTCAAAATCTCCCTGCTCCTTTCTGACCTGAAGTAAATGACGTGACCTACTTCTTCCTGCACCTACAGCTCTTTTGTTGGCGTAGATAAAAGCAACTCCTCACCACATATCTGACAATGTATAAGTAAAGCACATTCCAGCGCACAGTCTCACTCCCAACCCAACAGAGGAACACTAAAAGAGTTTCAGCTATTATAAATAATTTACAGAATTTTTCATTCGCCCTTTTAACCCCTCTGCAAAAAGCACATTTGGCTCAGGTTAAAAATATATGCTCCACATATCCGCTTGGTGTATGAAGGCAAATCATAACCTGGAGAAGCCCGTGGTTTAGTTGAGTATCACCTTGTGCGAAAGTCAGTGTTGATGTGAGAATAAATAAATTTACATTTCTCTTTTCTTGTCCCACTGAATCAAGTGCTTTGCCCTGGGTACCCACGCTTTTGTACGGCACTGGCATGCTGCAGTGTTTCCATGGAGATCAGGATAAACCTATGCTCCTCCACCAGGCAAGATGGGTGAGGCAGAGCATCCATGTACACACAAACACACCCCCATCTTGGTATCTGACACCAGACAGCACAAATATCTCTTTGCCAGGGGCTCCTCTCCTTTCATATGTGTGCAAATGAATTCATGGCCATCTAAGAGCGGGCGAGATCAACCCCGTCCACCAATGGCTAACCCAATGGAGCAGGGGCAGCTCTGTCATAGGGCCTTTCAGAAATGGCTAAATCTAGATAAATGCATTTAGCACTGCGTGAAAACGTATTCACAAAAGTGGTGCAATATTTTCCCATTTTTATAATTTTCATAAATCTTCTCAGTTTTGACACTGTAATTAGATATAAGGTAGTTCATATTTATCCAAGAAATATTTGCAGGGTGTATAGATCTCTGTGTGTTTTTGTGGGCAACCAGGGACATGTACAGTTTATCCCTCTGCTCATCCTGAAATTATTAATTTCATTAGCTGTTATCAATAATGTAATAGTGTGCTTGTTCAGTTCTCCTCTCTCTCCACCACAACATTACATATGCACTACCACATACACTTACAAAGCAGGTATGTGAGCCCACAAACATACACTAAAACGCACGCACTCAAGCACACACAACCTACAAACACCATCTGATGTTTAGATATATCGGTCTGCTCATTACATCTGTTTTAAATCATTATTCTACAGCACTCAACTATATAGATACACACACACACACACACACACACACACACACACACAGGTTATATATATATATATATATATATATA